AAGGACCATATTTACTAACAATTGTTTCCTTATTACAGAAAGGAGAAATTTTCATATTTGTTCTGAAGAACATACTTTATAGTGTTTATTACCACCAGCTCCTTGTAGCACTTAGCAAATTTTGCTCTGAACTGAATGTCTGGCCTAACATGGGTGCTAAGAGTCTAGCCTCTCTCACCTGCAAGGATTTCAGATTAAGGAAAACATGACCTGAGGGTTCACAATCCATTGTAAAATAGTCTCCAAAAGTTCATCTGGAAAATAGGCTTTAACTGTTGTTTACATTTCTTGGATAACTTCTTCCTTGCTTTTTTTTTTTTTTTTTGTATTTTGAAATAATTTCTGGAATGCCATTTGATAAAACTGTTTTGCAAGCCATTTGCGTGATACATTTATTTTCTAGCTCAGAGTAAATCCTGTGTTTTCCTAAGAAACCAATTATAAATGCTTATTACTGATGATATACCAGGGGCCACAGTAGGACACGTCCTTTATCTGTACACAAGCTGCATCTCACGGAACCACACAGGAAGTTGGACGAGTTTTCTTCTCTTTGGGCTATTATCTCACTACTACTACTACTACTACTACTACCACCACCACCACCACCACCACCACCACCACCACTACTACTACTAACTACTGTTGCTTCCATTAGTGGTAGTAGCAGTAGTAGTAGTAGCAGTAGTAGTAGTAGTAGTAGTAGTAGTAGTAGTAGTAGTAGTAGTAGTAGTAATAGGCTGTAACTTGGAAAGGAACATTCCCTGGCTCCTTCAGCACCCTCTCGCGGTAGTTTGGTTACCTACAGTTAACTGTAACATATCTCCCAATGACCTACTAGAAAAGAAATTATACAAGATAAAACTCAAAGAAAAAACAACACACACACACAGAGCATATAATACAGAAAATATAAGGGAATCTTTGTTAAAGACTTTCACAATTTTCTATCTAAGGTCAAATTTTAATCTTGTGCTGAAAATGCTTTCCTGTCAGCTTCTCCATCACTGAGTGTCCTTGAACGACTCTGGCTGACACCCCTCTTCACTGTGCCAGGCCCTTCCATGGTCCTGGCATATTCCAGCATCCACAGAGCTGACCCTCACCTCATTTCTGTGCACTTCATCATCCCAGTGCTTTGAACATCACCTCCAATTACCCGACCTTTGAAATACTTAATTCAACAGCCAAGCCTCCAATTCAGGCTCCTATTTTTATTATCTTCTCACTGCCTTTCTCCACAAGTACCTCCCTGCCCTGATAGGAAAACTTTCTCCGAATCAGTTAACCCACCCCACTTTCAAAACTGCCTTTGGACATACTTTCTTTCCTGCCAAGCCTGGAAGCCATGATCATTGCTTGAAACATTCTTTACAAGCTCCCTTACATAACCTCCCTTCTCCTCTATTCTTTCAAATCCCTGCCCTGAAAATCTCATCCATGCCCAGTCCCATAGTTGGCTTTTCACCCCTTAGCATGAAGGCACCACACAGATTGGTGGTAGGAAGTGCTCACTCGGCAGCCAGCACCTGGAGAAGCCCTCTCTGCCATTCCGACCATCTCTCCCTCCCATTCGTTGCCTCTTTGTTGGCTTCTCCAAACCTTCACCACCATCCTTGTATCGCCTGTCTAGCCTCCCCACGATTACTGTTAGCAGGTGACCCTAAAGCAAGAGAATCTTCAAATGGTCCATTTCCTCATCCCAAATCTCACCCTCCACACACACACTTTCTAATCCTCTCTCCTCCTCAGCTCCTTCCCACTGCTCTCAGAGGAAGAATGCTTCCTCCAGTTCTAAGTTTAACTTCCCTACATCAAGTATCCCCTCTGTTTCCTGTATCTTTAACCTCTTCCTCTCTGTTAGTTCCTTCCTTGGATATTTTAAACACACTTAAATTTCCTCCAGCTTCAACACAAATAATAAGGAAATAACTTGGCTCTGTATCCTCTTCCAAAATTGGCCCCTTTTCCCTCCCATTTTTAGTCAAGCTATTACTTTCTGCCCCTATTTATTTCTCTTTTACTCTTACTATAATTATAAAGTGGATTTTTTTCTTTGGTTTTCATACTTAAAAATATTAAATGCCCACATAAGAATATATCAGGCAATATATAAAAACATAAAGAAGAAAAATTTAAGCTTATTGTAACATCACCACTCATGTGGTGTTACACTTCCTATTTATTTATGCATTCATTTATTTTTACTTTCACTGTATATTGACAATAATTTATGATATTCTTTAATAATCCATTATACCATTTCATATGTATAAATAAATCAGCAAAACTTCCTTAATATCATTAAATCTCTACCACTGGTAATATTTAGATGACTGTTCTTCCAGGTTTTTTGTCTACTACTAGTATAAAAGGTAAGTATACATCCATTATTAAAAATAAAAATTTTATTATATACACTATTTTGTAACCTGCCTTTTCCCTTACTAAGATCTTGTTGCTTTCTAAATTACTATATAGCTCTACATCACCACTTCTAAAAACTGTCCAGTAATCTTTTGCATAAATGGCATAATATATTTAACCCAGTAACCTGTATATGCCAATAAATATATATACCTTTTGTTTCCATTATAAATAGATACTAAGAACTTCCATGTTTTAGTTTGTTTTGTTTGGTGCTTTCTTGTTTGGGGGACAAGGCTGCACCTCATCTCTGAGCCATTGGGAATTGCTTCAATACAAGAATAAGACAAAGATTTAATTTCATATGTTTTCAAATAATTATACATTTGTCCAAACCCATTCACTCTTTAGCTTCCGCAGTTCAATTTCCACCCATACCAACTCAGAAAAAGGCATCCTTAAATTTTTTTCTTTTATTTCTGTCTTTAAAAATTGAGATATAATTGACATATATGTGCATTAGTTTCAGGTATACAACACAATGATTCAATATATGTATACATTATAAAATTATCATCATCCTATGTCTAGTTAGCACCCATCACCATGCATAGTTACAAATTATTTTTCTTGGGATGAAAACTTTTAAGACCTTCTCTCTTAGCAGCTTTGAAATATACAATAACATATTATTAACCAAAGCCATCAGGCTGTACAGTACATCTCCTTGACTTATTTATTTTATAAGTGAAAGTTTGCACATTTTGACCATCTTCATCCATTTTACCTATCCCCTAGCCCTCATTTCTGGCAACCATAAACTCTTCTCTGTATCTAGGAATTTGGGTTGGTTTGGGTTTGACTTTTTTTAGGTTCTACATATAAATGAGATCATACCATATTTATCTTTCTCTCTCTGACTTATTTCACTTAACATAATGCCTTCAAGGTCATCCATGTTGTCACAAATGGCAGGATTTCCTTTTTTATGGCTGAGTAGTATTCCATTATATATATGTATACACACACACACACTACATTTTCTTTATCCAATCACCCATTTGGTGGACACTTAAGTAACTTCCCTATCTTGGCTATTATATATAATACTGCAATGAACATGGGGTGCAGATACCTTTTATTTTCTTCTGATAAATATCCAGAAGTGGAATTGCTGGGTCACATGTCCATAATTTCTTATGTAACAAATGCAATGAATACTTTCAGTCTAACTCTTCTTTATGCCTTTACAGGATTTGATACTTTTAGTCACTCCCTTATTTTTGCAACTTTTCTTTTCCTTAGGCTTCCACAGATTCATATTTTCCTGGATTATCTTGTACACCTGATTTCACCCATCTTACTTTTCCTGGCTGGATCATCTTCCTCTCCCTGTTTTCTGGTATTTCTTGGGATGTTATATGTGACTCTGTGTGTTTTGTTTTACATTTTTTCACTGGGCAACTCAGACCAGTCATGAGGCAATTACTATAGAACTTGACAGATGTTGATGGGGAACAGAACCATCATGTGGAACATCACAAAGAGGCCCAGGGAGTCAGCTTGGTGCAGACCGGGAATGGAGAATGGTTCTGCATGCTGGAAAGCAGGATGCTGGGGGCTACTGGTGAGAATGCAGCTGGAGAAGCAGGCTGAGGCTGCACATAGAGGCTGTACATGGCAAACTAAGGAGTCTGGACTGTCTTTTTCTGTTTATCCAGTAATTTTTCTAGGTTCTAAGGACATACTGAGCACAATCATTTCATCTTTTGTGGTATAGGAAAATCTTTTATTCATTCCACAGAAGTGAGCATACTATTATTGTTCTTATGACTACAAGGAGGAACTGTGTAAAAGAAGATGTTTTTGTGGGGTTGGGGAGCAGGCAGAAAATTGGGGTTCTATGTTGTCAGTCTAAAATAAATACTTTTAATGGGATATTATGTGTGATTTATTAGAACTCTCAAAATATTTAGTTAGCCATAAGATGCACCCAGCATGGAGCCTGAGATAAAATCATAAGTTCTAGAACCTATGCAGAACACACTCAGGGTTGAAAACAAGCTCTGTTTCAGCACGGTGTTTCACTTGGCACACTTTGGAAAAGTCATTTCATCAGAACATGATTCTCTCCCGAGGGATCACTTCTTACAATTACAGGAGTTTGGGGCACAGACATGCCGAAGTCGGGGCCTTCATTTGCCCATGGTCAGCGCCTCACCTTCTTGCCCTCTCAGGATCCATCTCACCACACTGAATGCCCCTCAGTTTAACCAGCTGCAATATATAATTAGAGAAGATAACAAGACAATCATGGCTTATGCTTGAAATGTCAGTTCTACACTTTCTATTCTTAAGGGGAAATCATTTCTACTTAAAATCTTACCCTTACAAGATAAATGTTCCAGGAATGCATTCCCTATCCTTCATAAACTCCTATAATTGAAGAATGGGAAGTCTTGATCCTTGTCAATAGAGTTCACTTTGCTGTTGTACATGCCGGGGGTAAATCTGAATTCTCAAGTGAATCATATTCAGTTGAGGGAAAAAAAAATTTCTTAAAGTTCAAGGCTAATGAAAAAGTAACACACATCAATGTAATTGATGTGATATCTCTTGCTTTCTCTTTGCAGCCTGCTGTCCCCCCAGAGGACACCCCTGAGCTGAGCGCCTTTTTGAGAAACTCGACCATCCCTCATCTTGTCAGGAAAAGGGATGTGCGTGTGCTGGAGCTCCGCAGACAGAGCCCTGCAAAAATACTGGTGAGTATCTCAGCCTGCATAGAAGTGAGGCAAAAGACTGGATTGGACAGAATTCCCAAATACAGATGGTTTTAACTTCAAGTGTTGTTTTTCATTCTCCTCTAATGCTCAGATATGCCTGACACTTTTTGGCTGTACATTATTGTAAGAAATGAAAACAACTTCCCTGTGGGGACTAAGGAGTATTTGCAATATAACGTTTTCACTTTTCTAAACCTGCCATGCAGGCCACATTAGAGAAATAATGATGAAAAGATAAAACGTGACCTTTGATGCATTTCCAGTACATAAAAATTTGGTTGTTAGACTGTCCCCAAACACTCAGCTGGTGAGAGTTTGAAGTGAGCCTGGAAAAGCACCACCCAGGCAGTGGATCCTTGGGATGCTATACCTGTCCCTGCATCTCAGAGCCCTCTGCTCATCCAGAAAAGACAAGAGTGGTGTTTTCTTCTTCCCTGAGCCAAAATCTCTGCAGTCTCAGCATTGGGCTCTAGCTGAGATCTGGCCTGAGTGGTAGGTCTAGTGGTAGATCTAGCCTGAGCTCAGTCAGCCTTTGTAGAAAGCATTCAAGAGTCAGCATTTTAATGCAATTCTCCCCCTCATTCCAGTGTGAATGTTAATGCCACTGAATTGTACACTTAAAAATGGTTAAGATAGTTTTTTAAAAAATGTATTTCTTGAACATATTCTGACCTTCATTTATTTCATCTTGACTGTATAAGTTTCAAATGTGAAAGTGGACACAAAAGTACAAGCAAGTCGAACTTAATCAGTGAAACATAAATCAAGAGAGGAACATTTATTGCAATAGAAGGACCAGCAGAATGGCAGTTGGCAATTATGATTCAAGTACCCATAAATTTTGATGACACTGTAATGTTTTTCAAAACATAACAGTAGGCAATTAATATGCTATTTAAATTCAGCTTTGGATAAATTAATAAAGTTCTGCATACTATGATTATGAAAAAACTTTGGGAGGAAAAACAGAAAACAGTGAGTCAAGTCAAGGGGATTTGTAACACACTGTGTGGTGAATATAGTTAATAATACTGTATTGCATATTTGAAAGTTGCTAAGAGTGTATTTTAAAAGTTCTCATCAGGAAAAAAATTATAACTTTGTGAGCTGATGCATGCTAACTAGACTTACTGTGGTGATCATTTCACAATATATATAAATATTGAATCATAATGTTGTACACCTGAAACGAATGTTATGTGTCAGTTATACCTCAATAAAAAAGTTTTTAATTAGTTTTTAAGAAAAAAAACATGATTGACCTCTATAGAATTTAATTGACAGTACCAATAGGAAGGCCTTTGGGAGAACCAATGTCCATACCTATGAGGACCAACAATTTGGAAAATCAAAGAGTCAAATATGTTTCTCTATTTCCACTTTAGCATATGTCTCATGAGTACACTGAGGCAGTAGAGATATATAAAAATCTTTTGAAAATTATATATGCTTCTGTTGTAAGGTCAGTTTTTTTCCATCCCATTCTTCCCTCATTAGAGATTTTAATACAAGATGATTTTTAACTTCTGAGTATCATAGAAACTTACTATTTGCAGGTGAGAGGAAAGCAATCCTTGATTTCTATATCTGAGTTTGTTAATTCATCTTCTATCTTCTTTCACTCTTATTGGTTCAAAAATTGCAATCATATAATTCTCCATGTCCTTGAGTCAAAATAGTTCTCAGTAAAAAGTGATTATGCAAAGTTTATTCTAAAACCAAAAGCTAAATAAGACCTTTCACTGTTTTTGTTTAGTTAAAAACAATTTACTGAATCCCATTTTCTGATTAGGAATTTGAAAGTGCAAAATGCTAACATCCTGTGTTGGGATCATAATTTCCAAATTTGCATAGGAAAAACTTATATCTGTAATACTGAAATATAATTTCTCCTCTGCCAAAGAATGTCCTCACTTTCCTACTCTTGGGCCCCTGCTGCTTTTGCCATTATCACCATTATCTCTTCCTTTCGTCCCTTCCACTACTAAGCTTACAGAAACCTTATCTTTCTAACTCTTTTTAGCATATGATCCTATTGACCACTTCCTGAAACCATCACATCCCCCAAAACATTCTCTCAGTTCTTTCTGACTCTTTGGCCTGCCTCTTATAATTTTTCAAGGACTTCTCCTCTGCCTACCCTTAAATGCTCCTGTACCTCAGGATTCCATCCTCAACCCCTCCTCTCCTCTGCCACTGATTTTGATCTTTCAGGGAGATTTTTTGCATGATCCTAAGTCAGTCATACCCAGATGCTTACTGCCCACTTAACCCACCTTACTGCACTTTAGACTTGGAGGGCTTACTATATCTGCTCATCTGGATGTCTGATCACCACCCCAGTCCCACATGTCCAAAGCTCTCTTCCTCCATGACCCCAAAAATGTGATTCTTCTCTAGAACTCCCAATCTCAGTAATGCTAGTACCCACCCATCCAGTTCCCCAAGCCAAGAGAGCTCCCTCCATCACTCTCTCCCTCTCCATCCCAACCTCCAAATAGTTACCAAACTTCTACATCCCAAACTTCTCTACATTTCGTCTTCCTCTCTCCGTTCCCACTCCCACAGTCCAGGGCCTCATTATCTCTCACCTAGACTCTTTCAACAAGCCCTTTTCATCCTCCTTGCTTCCCACTCTAGTTTTTCCATTATTTCCTCACATACCACCTGTGTCCTAAAACACAAACCTGATCACATCCCTTGTTTAAAAAGTTTAACAAGCTCTCCAGGACCTTCTGAATAAAATCTAAACTCCATGGCATAAGTAGGAGGAAGGATCCTTTACCACCCAGACTTTCTCCCTTTCCTACCTCATTTCCATCAGTCCACCCCACCCCCAAATGTCCCTTCTCCTCTTTTCTGAACATGCACTGGTCTTGTACAAATGAACTATGTCCCTTAGCCCTTACCGCTAGGTAACTCTTTCTCACCCTTCACCATTCATTCTAAGCATCCCCTTCTCCAAAATCCTCCAACAGAGCTAGCTAACAAGATCACTATCTCCAGGTATTTTAGAAGAACTACCGCCTTCTGACCCCATTCTTTTGCCTCCAGAGGGTAGGACTGGCGATACACAGTGTGTCAATTATGAAGCACAGGTCGGTGTGAAGGTCCTCACAGGTGACATGAACTGCACAACTCTGAGAATTCCTGCTCGGGCTGGAGGCACAGAACCCCAAATACCTCAGTACCCAACTCTAGTAAAACAAGAACAGCCCAGCCACCTGGATTTGGAAAAAGCATGTAGAAATCAGGCTTTACTGGCATTTATCAGAAACACATTACTGATTACTTTGTTTTTAGATAACTCTTAAGTTTTCCAAAAAGGTTTCCATAGCAATATAGTCCTCAACTTACTCTGTGATTCATCAGTTTTATTAAGTGAAATGCTTCCATTAACTACTTCACATACTATCCAATAAATTGATGTTTATTGAGCACTTATAAGCTAGTGCCCACTGCTTCAAACATGAAAAATAAAGCAGAGCCACTGCCTTTAAAATTAGTGAGAGAGTACAATTCAACAAGTATCATCCTATATACTGTGACACAGAAAGTGTATGTGAGGTATCCATTTATTCCTCAGGATCCAACCAGAAAATATGATTTGGTAGGTAGAATGTCATCCTAATGAATACTTTTCAGGAACATGCATTTCATATAATAAAGGTTACCCATTCTAAGTCAGGCAAACCTAGAAACTAGTTTAAAAACAGCTTAATGGATAGAACTTGCAAAAGAGCCTGCTTTATAACCAGGAAATAATTTAGACAGAAAAAATAATGGTATGGAACAATACTTGCCAATGGGTTCAGAACATTGGGTCTTTTGAGTATGGGCTCAGGGACCTTTACTTAGCAGCCTTTCCAGGATTTACTTAGTCAAGGTAATGTGAATGTCTAGAAGAAATGTGTCCACAAGTTCTAATAAAATGAAACAGAGGTCCATCACTTCTGCAGGAAGATTATTTTAAGTCCTTAGAAAATAACTTATTTTTTTTTTATTGAAGCATCATTGATATAGAGTCTTATGTTGGTTTCAATACACAACACAGTGATTCAACAGTCACCCATATTATTAAATCTTCACCCCTTGTAGTATGATTGCTATCATTAACATAGAAAGATGTTACAGAATCATGGACTATATTGTCCATGCTGTACTGTCCCCATGACCAACTTATATTTTGATTGCGAATTATTGTGCCCATTTTTCCCCCAACCCTACCCCCAAAACCGCCCCAACCCCTCACCCTTGGTAACCATTAGTCACTTCTCAGTGTCTACAAGTCTACTGCTATTTTGTTCCTTCTGTTTTTCTTTGTTTTTATATTCCACAGATAAATTAAATCATATGGTATTTGTCTTTCTCCACCTGGCTTATTTCACTAAGTGTAATAACCTCTAGATCCATCCATGTTGTTGCAAATGGGAGGATTTCTTTTCTTTTTATGGCTGAATAATATTCCATTGTGTATATGTACCACATCTTCTTTATCCATTCATCTACTGATGGACACTTAGGTTGCTTCCATATCTTGGCTACTGCAAATAGTGCTGTGATTAACAAGGGGTGCATATATCTTTTTGGGTCATGGATTTTGTTTTCTTCAGGTAAATTCCTAGGAGTGGAATTAATGGATCAAATGGTATTTCTATTTTTAGTTTTTTGAGGCACTTCCATACTGCTTTCCACAGTGGTTGCACCAATTTACATTCCCACCAACAGTGCAGGAGGGTTCCCATTTCTCCACATTCTCACTAGCATTTGTTATTTCTTGGAAAATAATTTAAGTTTTATGTTGCATTTTTATGTTCCATTTTATCTCTACAGTATCACTAAGGTTGATGCATCATTAGTATAAAACTGTGGGGTTTTTTGGTTGTTTAAATATAGTTGTTCTTTACTTGAATTAATAATTCATGGATTAGGCACTGACTTCTGTGGAAATAAAATGTAAATAAACTGACTTCAGTGTTGATTCTCTACCATAATTGAAAGACACTGTGTAGCCACTTCTGCTGTTGTTTCTTGCAGAACTGTACAAATATCGAGTGCTTACAAATCTCTTGTGCAGTAGGACGACTAGATGGAGGAGAAAGCGCAGTCCTGAAAGTCAGATCACGGTTGTGGGCCAAGACATTTCTCCAGGTACTAAAACACTGAAACACTTACATATCACACTCCCAAGAAACCTCTTCTCAAAAGCTCCTCATTTTTTAAGAGGATTTTTTAAAAGCTTTTTAAAAAGGATTTTTTAATGTTTTAATTTTTAAAGGAAACACATTTTCAAATTTTCAAATATTTTTATTGAAAAACTTTTAGATTTAAATTTAATTTTTAAATAAAATTAAAAATTTTTTATTTAAATGAAATTTTTACAGGGGAGCCAAGATCAGCTGGTCATCTTTCCCATGAGGTGAAAACACTTTTTTCCAGCTTTACTGAATAGTGTTGACATGTAACTGTAAGTTTAAGGTGTACAAGGTGATGATCTGATATATGTAAATATTGAGAAACGATTCCACTATAAAGTTAGTTAATGCCTCCATTCCCTCATGTTTCCAATAAATTACCTTTGTTGGCAGGGGTCAGGGACTTTTAATATCTACTCTCTTAACAACTTTCCAGTATACAATACAGTGTTGTTAATTATACTCACTATGCTGTACATTAGATCCCAGGACTTATTCATCTTATAACTGGAAGTTGGTACCCTTTGACCAACATCTCCCCATTTCCCCCATTTTCAGCACCTGGTAACCACCAATCTGCTCTATTCCTATGAGTTCAGCTTTTTTAGATTCCATGTATCAGTAAGGTCATACAGTATTCGTCTTTCTCATCTGACTTACTTCATTCAAGTTCCATCCATGTTGTCACAAAAGGCAGGATTTCCTTCTTTTATATGGGTGAGTGATGTCCCATTATGTAATGCTTAGGTGAACACAATTTAATATCCTGAGTCCCTAAGACCTTTAGACACTAATTTAGATTCAAATAAATCTATTTGGCTCACTGCTATATACCCAGTGCCACAGCACATGGTAGTTGCTCTGTAATTTTAGTCAGGGGGATGATGGTGAGTACAAGAGTACTCATTTAATTTTGTTTCTAAAACAATAGAAGGAAAATTAAAGGTATTTTTTAAGACAGCTGTAAAACATACTCTTTTTTTAACCTAACACAGGGATTCTCAATCTCAGCACTACTAATATTTCAGATCAGATCATTCTTTGTTAGGGGGCAGGGCCTGTCCTGTGCATTACAGGATGTTTAGCTGCATCCCTGGTCCCCACCTACTCGATGCCAGTTGCAACCCCCACCCTAGTTGTGACAACCAAAAATGTCTTCAGACATTGCCAATATCCCCTGGGGACAAAAATCACCTCCAGTTTTGATGACTGACCTAAGGAGAAGTGAGTGCACAATCTGTTTGGTGGAATTTTTTTTATCTATAATAAATAATAAATCATAAACCATTATTTATGGCATCGAGTAGGTGGGGACCAGGGATGCAGCTAAACATCCTGTAATGCACAGGACAGGCCCTGCCCCCTAACAAAGAATGATCTGATCTGAAATATTAGTAGTGCTGAGATTGAGAATCCCTGTGTTAGGTTAAAAAAAGAGTATGTTTTACAGCTGTCTTAAAAAATACCTTTAATTTTCCTTCTATTTGTTTTAGAAACAAAATTAAATGAGTACTCTTGTACTCATCAACTCAACAAATATTTATAAAGTGACAACCATGAGCCAGGCATTGCTTCAGGTGCCATTTGCATTCCATCATTTTGCTTTTGGTCACTCTGCTTTAAGGCTATTATTTCTTATTTCAGAGTTGAGGAGAGGAGTCTCACTGAATTCCCCAGGCCACACAGTCTAAATGATAACCATATGTTCCTCCCTTTACTTTGGGCACCACATCCTACTGCAATGAGGGAGAACAACTCTTCACTGAAGCAGTACGAAGATCATTACAACACTACAGTCAAGGGAAAAATGATTATTTTAGACAGCATGAGTCAGTTCTATGCATAACATTCTCTTCTATTAGAAGTCTTATAGAGTAAACATTGCATCTTCATCTTCCTGTTAAAGAAAGCCCAGTGAGTCTAGAAAGTCAATAGCAATGGAAGAACTTTCTAAACAATTAATATTTAGTACAAGTTGAGTCAGACCTGAATAATCTGCAGGGAGGTTCTGAAGTCCAACCAAAGTACCACTTCCAAGATATGGGAAACATGGTTCAAGTCACTGTTTACCCACTCCAGACCCCAAATTTCTTTTTGTCCACAGTTCCTGCTTATTCCAGTCTTGGAAGCTGATTGCCAAAGAGGAGTGCACCACTGCATTCTCTCTTTCCATCTTCCAAACACTATACTAGATATTGGAGGTCTTTTTTTTGTCACACAACCCAGAGGAGGTAAACATTTTCTGCCTTCCCTATCCAGGCCAGAATGTTCTCTATTCTTGGTTGACATGTTTGCTGCATTGTTTCTGTCCACATGGAGAACATGCAAACTGGTCAGAAAAGGATTTTATTTTGATTAATCCTGAATAATACCCTGTCCTGGGATCATTGCTTGAAATGGCAATATCCTTTATAGTTTACAGTTTTACCAGTAATTGCTTAGGTTTTGTCATCTTAACAAGGCTTTATTCCGGGTAAGTGTTGAGTATTTAAACATGGGCTCCATAAAATGGAGATGTTGGTTAAAAATAATTCTTGGGTAGGAATTAAGCAGTGGGAATAGAGCTGCTGATGGTACCAGCCACACTAGGTACTTAACCAACACAGAAGCCTCACTCCCCACTCCACTTGTTACCAATTCTGGAACTTTCATTGGTACCATGACCATATGCAAATCATTGTGCAAAAGTACATAATAGAGACAGCCAGAGGGCTGCAAACTGTGGCTTAAATGATTCGGCAATGACAGAGAAATAAGGCATTTCTTAGGAGTAAAAGCTAGCTGGGACAAGCTGAAGGTCCAAGATATTATCAAGGGACATTAACTCCACCTCTTTTTTCAATCCTAAATTGTCAACAATATGGCAGTGATCACTATTACATGAGAAGATTGCTATATGAAGAGGATCTTTTTTTAACATTAAGAATAAAATCGTTGTTACATAAAGAGCATGGCTGAAAGCATTCAACTTTGAATGTGGAATCAATAATGTGACTCTGTTCATAATTGTTTTTCATGAGTTTAATACTTACCTTTGCAATGCCTTTGACCTACAGGCACAGGACTGATGTATCATTGGTGCCAATGGCTCGCTCACATTTCCCATTTCTTAGAGACCCAGAGCACCTTTAAAACATGAAAAAAAATGCATTTTCCCATTGAAAGAGTAGAAGAAACCTTGGTTTTAAAGAATAGTTTAAAGAACAGATCAATATATGAATTGTATTGATTACAGACTATTTGCCTGCCACCTAATTTGTTCAGGCCCCAGACTGTGTCAATTTGCATCACTGAATTAGACAGCAGGGGTGGGAACATGTCAATAGCCCCATACCATGCACTGTAGCCCTCATTTTATATCACTACCTTCTAGTACAACTTCCTAATCAAGTATATGGGGGGCTGTAGGGTCCAATTTGATAATTGAAAGAATTAAACCTTTTATAAGATGCTATCAAATGGGCAGTGGGAGGGCCTCTGAATTACCAAACCACTGATGTGTTTATTCACTGTTCACTCATGTGGTCAGTCAACCAGGATTAACAAAGCCCTCCTGTACACATTGTTCCAGGTGCTGGGGAGAATGTAAACATTATATTCTATCCTATATGCCTTGACTTTTTGTATAATCTTGTTGGGGAGAAAAGTAATAAAGAAAAATAGAAAGTTACACAACAATGTGAAAACTCCAGATAATACAGGACAAATATAGTCTCATCCCAGACTTGCTGAATCAGAATCTCTGAGCCTGATCCCAGGTGTGTCTGAAGCTCAGCACAATGCAGTAGTTTATGAACCACTGGGAATGACAGTAAGATTGGTAATGAATTGGAAATGGGAGGAAGAATCAAACTGTAGCCAAGAGCAGAGGGAGTAAAGGAAACAGGTGAAAGAAAATCTCCTCAGAGAAACATGTTTCCTCACGTTCTACAATCTCAAGTTCAAATCCCACCTCTTATTCATTAAGAAACTCCCATGTTCATGAACGTAGAATCACATAGGAACAAAATGTTCCATCTAGAGTTCATACAGAGATCAAGTTCTCCTGTGATATGTTTCCGGAAGATATGACTTCAAGAGCAAGAGAATCACTTTCTATCATTTCTGTTAATTAAACTTGGAGACTAAAGAAAACTTGTTCATTGGAGATTTGGGAGCATGGAAACACATTTGAGTGCATAATTATAAGTCTTATGCACAGAATCTTATTACCAGAAGTCGTGTTTCTCCTGTGTCTGACAGCCAAGGTGGTAATGAAGGTAGATTTAAATCACCAAGTATACATAAGATTTTATGAGCAAAGATTTCCACATTTTAAAAACATTTCCCAAACAAAGAAAAATTCCAGCTTTCAGTTAAAGTGGGAATGCCAGGATACAAAAGAACATCAGAATAACAACCAACCAAAAGAGAATTTTTTCCAAAAGAAGAGTTGCTTATCCTGGAATGTCTAAATATAAAGAAGGAAAAAGTTAAAAATATAGTGACTTTAAGTATGTAAAAGCTTTTCATACTCTGGCCTGTCCTTATCATGTACAGGAAATGGGGTTTGTTGAAGTGAGAAAAAAATTCAGCCACGGGGGAAAAAAATGTTATAAAAAAAATTTTAACAATAGTATTACAATCCAGCCTGTTGGACTGGCCTCCAGAAACCCAACATTGGTTCAGTGAAGTGCACAGATGGTGAAGTGCTGCTAAGTATTCAATACATTGCTCTCTAGGAAGAAGAAAAGCTCTCATATGTACCATTTGCTGATTCCTATGGTGTAAATACTCCCACCATGTCTGATTTCAAGTTGCCAACATGACATCACTGAATTTGGAATTGGGAAGAGATGCACAGTAGCACATCATCATATAGTATTTCCCCTTACAGACACAATAGACATAAGTAATATCAAGAACAAAGAAAATAGTAAAAAGCAATAAAATAATTAGTAAGCATTGGGTTTTGAG